CAGGGCCCATGGTTTGCTGGGAAGATTCTGGCAGAGCTCTTCCCTCTGCCTCCCACACAGGGCATACTGCTAAATCATTGCTTTAGGTATCATTGTGGTGCAGTGGACGAGCTCTGAGTGGCATGGTCAATGTCAAAGAGGCACGAGAGCATTTTTACCTCAGCTTGACCTCATTAAACCCACTGGAGTATGACTTTGGCCATATAAAGCAAATGTATTGGCTCTGAGCCCATCGGAGTTCTGAGGCTCTTTCTCAACAAGGTATCAAGCAGGAAATGAGACACATTTTATTTTATGCAGGCTGCATGAGGGATCTGCATAGTCCAGGGCATGGCACGTGACATGAGAATGCTAAAATGCACGTCTGGGGCTCACAAAACCGCTTTTACCTTCACTCGGTGATATAATGGAAAAAAAAAAACACTGAACTGAACACCAGAAGACTTGAACTCCAGTCGTGAACAGGCAGGTCACCCTGGAAAGTAGGGTCGCATCTTCAGGCCTGTTTTCCCCTTCCTAAAATGAGAGTTCTCAATGGGTAGTTTCTAAAGTTTCTTCTAGTTCTAACAGCTTAAGGCTTTGTGTAATATTAAGACTTTATGAGACACAGTGAGGTTCGTTAGGGTCGATCTGCATCCCAGAGACAAATCAAGCAATATATATATGTATTTATCTACCAAACCTTGCTGGGGACTAGAGTCTTACAGGAAGGGCTTCTGAATTTGACTGCCACTTGAGCTAGGCTTTCTGTCTGCTTGAGGATGGCATGTTTAGAGGAAAACAGAGTATCAGTGGCATCTTAATTATAGTTTAATCCTTTACCAAGGATTTACACATGGAAGCTTTGAGGTTTTAATTAATGTTCAAAATTGGCACAGTGCAGCCAGATCCAAAGGTGGTGGATATTTTCAGGCCGTACAGAAAGTTAAATTGACTAATGTGACCATTTGACCTAGTTTATCCTCCCTACGTGGAATGCGATCTCCATTCCTCCAATGGATTCCATTGATAATTGGGTCTCGTTAAAATGTAGTTATCACACGCTTACTCACTGAGATCCAAAATGAAGCAAGTTTCTTTCCTTTAGATATTCAAGTCACACTAATGTATTTCTTTTTCTGAATTCTTCCCATTATATAACGTTATATATGTATCCTGTTTTCTATAGTTTCCCTATCCATTATTTCATTTGTTTTTAGTCCATTATTTCATTTAATTAGCATATTGGGCTTCTCTGATAAGCAGGAGATAGAATTGTGTTTCCATTTTGAAGAGGAGAAACTGACGTTCAGGCGCCAAAGTCTCGTGCCTAGAAGTGACCACACTCCCCTTTATTTTCTCACACTTTCTGTTAGGAGTGAATGGACTGCTTTGTTCTGCTGTTTAAAGGGCACCCTTGTTCAGGGCGGGTATGTCTTTGCAAGCTCCTCACTAATAGCTACATGTTGGCACATTAGAGAAAATTACTCAGAAAAACAGAACGTGAATGACTAATCTGTATACTGCCAAAGGATGTGAATAATTAAAGGATATTTTGGAGAAGAATCTTTTACATATTGTCATAAGGTTTATCAATGTTTTTGATAAGTGTAAAATATGTGAGAAGTGTCTAGGTAGAATAACATGGACCTGGAGAGCTGGAAGAGAGTGAACATCCCAGGAAGAGTTTATTTTTTTAAAAAAATCAAAAGCATGTGAAAGAGGAATAACTAGAAAAATTTAACTACAGAGCAATTAATTACGTTACCCATGAAGGTAGTTTATTTTCTGACAGTTTGAATTTCAAGACTTACACACCGAATTCAATGCTATTCCCTTCAAAGAAGTCATCTTGAGAAGCATTTATGCTACTTGTTACTTATTTTTGGAACTTTTCTCACAATTGCTTTCTGAAATGGACACTTTTTAAAAAACATTGTAAAGGTCTTTTAGATAGAGTCAGAATTATTCTGAGCCATGTCAGGTGAAAAGGAGGGTGCTTAAGCCAGGTAACTTTATTTCTCTCTCTTTCCTTTCCTCCCTTCCTCTTCCTTCCTTTCCTCCAAAAGAAAAAGAGAGAGAGAGAGAGAAAAAACTAAAGTTTTTTCATGTCTCATTAACTTTCTCTGAAGACTTCCAGAAATTATTCCAACCAATGCAATATTATTATAATAAGAATATATTTTCCAAGTTAATTACATATGGTGCTTAAATTCTGGTTTGTTCGTTTAAAGTGTTTTGTGGTTTTATAATTCTGTTCCTTGGAATGAATTATATACTGCTTTGGCTGGAGTGTTGAAGTTCTAAAGTATATGAGACCTGATTATTATTTTCTTTTTTTTTTAATATTTTTATTTATTTCTAGGAGAGAGAGAGAGACAGCATGAGCAGGGGAGGGTCAGAGAGAGAGGGAGATACAGACTCTGAAACAGGCTCCAGGCTCCGAGCTGGCAGTCAGCACAGAGCCCGACGCGGGGCTCGAACCCACGAACCGCGAGATCATGACCTAAGCGAAAGTCGGACGCTTAACCGACTAAGCCACCCAGGCGCCCCATGATTATTATTTTCTAACGAGTGATGGGCTTGAGCAAGCAGCACAGAGCTGAGAGATGAGGGGCAGTACAGGGAAGGAGAGGATGCTGTATGGAGTGTTGAGTTGAATTAGGAGGCACTACACTTCTACCAGTTGGAAGTGTCCAGAAAGAGCAGCCAAGGGATAAGGAGAAGTCATGGCATATGGGGGCTGGAAGTCATGGCATATGATAACTACATGAAGGAACTGGGGATGTTAAACCTGATGTGGCATATGCCAGGGTGGTATGGTAAAGAGATCGTGGGACTAGAAATATGGCTTAAAATGTAATTTCTGCTCTCAGTTAGCGGTGGGACATTGGGCAAATAATTTGACTTCTCAGTGCTTTGGTTTCCTATCAAGTTAAAGTTGTAGAACTAAGGGTACCTGGGTGGCTCAGTCAGTTGGGCATCAAACTTCGGCTCAGGACATGATTTCACAGCTTGTGAGTTCGAGCCTCAAGTCAGGCTCTGTGCTGACAGCTCAGAGTCTGGCACCTGCTTTGGATTCTCTGTCTCCCTCACTCTCCTGTCCCCCCCGCCTCCTGTTCTTTCTCTCAAAATAAATAATAAAAAAACATAAAATTTTTTTAAAGAAATTGTAGAACTAAAAGTGAGCCTAAGTTTTCTTCAAAGATTAAAATTTATTTTATAAGGTAGACATGATAATTGTCTTTGAATACTTGAAGAGCTTTCATGTGGAAGAAGGAGTAGACTAAGATTAAATAATGTCTAAGGAGGAGACCACTATCTAGGTTTCCGGAGAGCAGATTGCTTTTTATTTCTTTTTAATGTTTGTTTAATTTTTGAGAGAGTGCACCTGGGGAGGGACGGGGAGAGGGGGGGACAGAGGATCCAAAGTGGGCTCTGTGCTGACAGCAGCAGGCCCAAACTCATGAACTCATGAGCCAAAGTCTGACATTCAACCCACTGAGCCACCCACGTGCCCCGAGCAGATTTCAAATTTAAGTAGAAAACAAAACAAATAAAAACCACCCTGCCCAACAGTGAGATGGCTGTCTTGATGGTGGAGGGTGCAGTGATAACAAGAGCTGACAGAGCCAATTTTATGTTGTAGAGGGAAGGCATAAACCCTAAGAAGTGGTGGACTAGTTGATTATGAAGGCCTCTTTCAATCCTGAGATTCTACGAGTCTCCATTCATTTCAGGTCTTCTGAGTTCTTGATTGCATTTGTGAAGACCATAAGACCAGAGAATGAGAGGCTGAAAATGCCCAGGCAGCTCTTGAAATAATAAGTGGTCCATGAGGGTTTGGTTCATGATGTATAGTAATCTTTTTATAAATGCCTGAAGGATCTGCATCTTAGCAACCTTGTTACTTAACCTAACGTTACCTGGAAGAACAAAGTGCCTCACAGTTCCGTTGAATGAGAAGACTTAAAAGAGGAGCCTTTAAGCTGCCTCCTGCTACATTCTCCTTCCCTTTAGTGTGTCAGGGAACTCTTGTTGGTCACAAATTCGAAGCCCCTAGAACCTTTGTGGCAATTACAAGATCTCTCTTTTGCTCCTCAGCAGAGACATCTCATAGCGGCGTCAGACCCAAGGCTCTAGAGTAGCGTGTCATATGAACACTGAGCTAACCATTATTGACTTCTTGGGCCATTATGGTAAAGGGACATTAGTTACCATCAGCACAGTTGCACTGATGTGGTTGTAATGAACATGCCTGTGGGAATTCCCATGGAGGGAGCTCTTCATCAGATCAGAGCAGCCAACAGAGGAACAGGGTGAGCTGGAGGTGCCGGTGTTGAGGAGGAAGACAAGTTCGTTGGTCTGACTCTAGTTACTTCGAGAGTTACTGCTAATTTACGTGCCTGTACCTGGAATACTTTCTGAAACACCTCTCCCTCCTTCTCCCCGACCTCCTCTCCCACCCTGGTATTTTCTGTTCACTATACACAATGCAGTAGCCCTGGTTTCCAGATGCATCTTGTGGAACCAGACCTCTGACTTCGGGACTCCTCTCACAGCTCTTAGAAGTATGGCCTGGGCTGGATCTTAGCAAGGGTTCAAAAGCGTGTACATGCCTCTGGGAGGCAGAGAGACCCCATGCCCCAACATGCCACCTTTCTTAGCAGAAAGCTGTCTTGGGAGACTCCCCTTCTTCTCTCTACCACTATCACCCATTAATTGACCTCCTTCTGTGAATAACCACTGTTAATGCCTAGGGAGGGTTTACTGTGTACCAGGCCTGGGTGGTAGGTTATCTCATTTAAGCTTTACAAACCTACTGAAGTAGGTTTCTTCTTATCTTTTCATATTATTCCTGTGATGTGAAAACTTGAATGACTCTATGTTTAACCGTCTCACAGGGCTGTGTGTATGTCTGTCTGTGTGTCAGTCTCCATTCACCTTTCCCTCTATCTTCCTGTCTTGGTCTTGGCATGCCTTCTTCATACTTTAACCTTTGTTTTCTTTTATCTTTACAGATATCTGATCAATGTCACATTTGAGGGAAGAAACCTGTCCTTCAGTGAAGATGGTTACCAGATGCATCCGAAACTGGTGATAATCCTTCTGAACAAGGAGAGGAAGTGGGAGAGGGTAGGACATATCTTTTGGCAATTCTTGAGCAAAGCAGTTGGGGTAGGGACGTAAAACTTTGCAACGCATTAAAGGAAAACAAAACCAAACCTTGGTTTTCGTCTCTGAGCTGGGAAGTTAGAGTGTAATACGTCGAGGGCACTGGAGAAGCCAGCTCTCAGACTTGCATCTTTGTTTTCTTGTTCCTTTGGTTAATCGAGAGATTATTTTCTTTTCTTTCTTTTTTTTTTTTTTTTACAAATAGTTTATTGTCAAATTAGTTTCCACATAACACCCAGTGCTCATCCCCACAAGTGCCCTCCTCCATGCCCATCCCCCCTCCCCCCCACATCCATCAGTCCTCAGTTTTTGTCAGCATTCAAGAGTCTCTCATGGTTTGCCTAAGAGATTATTTTCTTTATGCATTACCATTTTTATTGGTTATGGTGCTGTCTGAATCACAACTTTATTCTAATGGAAGAGTATACATGTGTAATGTAATTCGGTGAAGAAATCAAATCAGTGGTATAATTCAGAAGTTTTATCCTACACAGTTATACTGGGGAGACTAATGAAACATAATTTACAAGCACATAGGTTTGAATTTACTGAGAGTAGAAGCTTGCCATGCAAGGCCCCCCTCAGGATCTCCCTCATTGTCAGCTGACCACAGTATCTGAAACTCTACCATTAGAAATTAATTTCTGTGAGTGCCAGATGACCTAGATTCAATTCCCAGCTCCTCTACTCACAAACTTGTCTACTTAGGCCCTTGTACAAATCTCTTAAGTATTCTGTGTCTCGAGTTGCCTCATCTCTAAAATGAGAATACAATTAAAAGTACCAAGACCACAGGGTTGTTATGAGGATTAAATAGATTAATATATGCAAAGGACTTAGACAGGTGTCCACAGTAAGAACTTACCAGGTATTCGCTTTTGATTTTGTCCCCCGTTCCTACTTATATGCAAATGTTCCCCAGGGCAATGTCAGCACTGGTGTTTCTCTGGTCTGTGTTCTTCAGGTGCCATTTATCCCTTGAGATTCTTGCTGAAAAAAATGGCTCCGTAGATAAATAAGGTTGGGCGAGATCCCTCTGGGTTCTCATTCTGGGAGGTTCCCAGACCATATTAACATTTGGAAGTTCAGAGGAAGACTGTCTATGGCAAAGGGCCGTCTCTAATTTTACTTAATCTGATAGTTCCAAATTTATTTTATTATGAGACGCCTTTGTTCATGAAATTCATATTCTGTAAAACATAGTAGGGAAACACTGATTTAAAGCAATATCTATGGACTCTGTAGGTCAGTTGGCTGAGAACAGGCTTCAGGATGTCAGCATGGCTCTGATGGGGAATGGAAACCAAATTATATATTTCTAGAAAGAAGAGCCAGGAAGAGAGATCAGCGATAAATTTCTTGAAATTCATAATCTTGTCCGTGAGCACTGGACAGGCAGTTATGTGAATGCTTGTCTGTGAAACAGCATGTGTGGCTCACATAGTGGAAACCTGGGGCCTTATTCTTAGAATCGAAAGGCCTCAATCTGCCCTATAGTTCCTTAGTTCAAGGCACAGCTGTAAGACTTAGATTATTCCTTGTGTTCTTGATTAAAGCTACTCTCCCTCTACTGAGTTATCATTTGTTCAGAAATGGTTTTCCCCTGGGCTCCTGCTCTTCACTCCAGTCAAGCTGCTTTTCACCTGCTGCTATCGAGACATAATAATTTAAGAGGTGTTCTGGGACCTCAGGTATGACAGGCACGTCTGTATATCTCTGGAAGAGGAGTTATTCATAACGGTGGCTTCGTACACGGATCAGAGATGTCCAGCTGGGTAGCTTTAATACAGGAGACTCATGATGACTGCCTCAAGGATGGGGCATCTCATACCTCTCCTTCCTTAAAGAGATCTTACTATCACTCATGCTGACTTCTCTAGACTGGAGTCTGAGGCCTGTGACCACCCGCACTGCTGCCCTTTCCAAAGCTGGATCCCCTCCGTGGGATTTGCATTCCTTCCCTTCTCATATAGCTTAACTTAACTATATAACTCTTAACTATAGCTCTTGGATTTATTCCTCCTCATATGATCCAGGGAGCATGTGATGATTTTTTAAATGGACCTCCCTGTCCTTGATGCCCCCCATTAGCCATTCAAATCAGTCCTAGCATGGCTGCTAGAATGCGTTTCCTAAGACCCAACTCTGATCACATGCTTTCTCTGCCCAAAACTTGTTCAGAGCTTCTATAGTTTATGCTTTGGGTATTCAAGCTTTATTCTTGTATTCAAGGCTCCAGTCTACCTTTCAAAGCCTGTCTTTTCTCCCTTGCTCTTTCCTGTCTCACCATCAAGCCACATTGGGCTCTCTCTGTTCTAAGATATTTCTCCTGTATGTCTCACTTCCTGTACAGCACGTCATCACGTTTCCTTTTTCTGAGATGGGTTGTCCAATTATACAAATCATAACCATCCTTTGAAACCCAGTTACAATGTTACTGTCTTTGGTCTCATCTTTGACTGAGATGTAATCTCTCTCAGCCTCTGGTCCCCTGTAGCTGCTCTCCCTCCCTCTGTTGCAGCACTGTCCCATCTGCCTGTGTTAGAGTTGTGCGTGTGTGTGCTTCCCGATGGCAGAGGCTGCGTCTCTACATCGTCGTGTCCTCCCAGCAACGTGGAAGAAAGAGTGTACTGCCTAGAGCGGTTCAAGAAGTGGGTGTCAAATGAAAAAGAACCATTACATAATACACGAGTCTAAAATCTATCATTAAGAATCCAAGTTTAGGGGCGCCTGGGTGGCTTAGTCGGTTAAGCGTCCGACTTTCGCTTAGGTCATGATCTCACGGTTCGTGGGTTCGAGCCCCGCGTCGGGCTCTGTGCTGACTGCCAGCTCAGAGCCTGGAGCCTGTGCCTGTTTCAGTCTGTGACGCCCTCTCTCTCTGACCCTCCCCTGCTCACGCTGTCTCTCTCTCTCTCTCTCCTAGAAATAAATAAAAAAAACATTAAAAAAAAAAAAGAAGAATCCAAGTTTATGTTACTGCCCTTGATGTAATACCTCTTTGATGGGGAGCAGAGGGGAGATAAAATCATTATGTAGATTGAGTTTTCATAGATCATACTTTAACTGTATCGAGGGAGCTTCTTATTTAAAAAGAAGTTCTGTGGTTAATCCTTTTGTAAAGTATTTTGGGAGGGGGAAGGGTCATAGACTGTAACATACTCCTAGTGATTTGATTAAATCCGGGAACATTGCTAAAGAGTGGTCCTTCCTGTTCGTTGAGTTCACAGAGCCAGGAGGCTCCCCAGTGTGGAGCCCCTTGTCAGGGCTCAGTTGTGGGCAGGGACGGGTGGCAGGAGCCTGGCACAGGTCTAGTACGCGTGTGGTATGTGCTGAAATTGTCCTGTGGGAAGTTATGCCTTTCTTTCCACTGTTACCCTGACCCCCAGGCTCCTGTGTATTCTCAGGATTTCTAATACCACCCCAGAAGGTTCCGTGTGGCCCAGGGAAGATTGAATGTCTGTGGACTTCACAGAGGCAGGCATCAGGGTGAATAGTCGACAGGGAGGAGATGGATGCTGGGAAGATAAATGGGGAAGGAACCTGGATTTGTGGGAAAAATGAGGCTAAAGGACAGGACCCACAGCTTCCGGTTATGTCCTGAACTAGCTGTGTGACCTGCTTTTTTCAGTTTTTCTGGATCTTTCTTTCTTCCTGTCTGAAATCATGGCAGGAGATTAAAATGACTTCTAGGGCTCTTTCTGGGTCTAGCTTCTTGGATTACAAATTTCATGTTGTAAATAAGTAAGAGCTTGGAATGGACTTGGGGTGAGACTGAAGCATACAAAGGAACACGAGTTGGTTTCTAAGGACAGTAGCTCCCAGGGAATATTTGTCATTCTTGTCATTTAGATAAATATCATCTCCTCAGAAGGCCTTCCTTGGTGACTCAAGCTAAAGTAGCCACCCAGCCACTCTATCAAAACAGCTCATTTTAATGTTCTTCAGGATACTCTTTATCTGATGTTTTGCTTGTTGGTCTGATTACCACCTGTCTCTTCACGCCAGGACAGATGCTTCCTGGGAGCAGGGATGTTGTTCACCTCTATAAGCCCAATACCTAAAAAGAGTGCCTGGCATCGAGTGATGCCTCAAAAGATAGCTGTTAAATAAATGAAGAATCCGTATGCTTAGGAGAGTCAGTGTATTGACCGGCCGTTTCACTTCTGCCTGAAATTCCTCCGGTAGACAGAGTGGCTCACTGAAGAGAGTGTGAGAGCAGGCACATTCTCCACCGCTGGTGGGAGCAGGCCAAGCTCCAACAAGGGTCTGGGAGGCGGGGCGGGCGCCATTTTCAGTGAGGCCCAACCTCCCAGAGGAGGCAGGCCTTACGGGGTTTTCAGCAAGGAGCCTCAGGTTGAGGAAGACTCAGATGCTGGTGTGAACCATGTGAATATCCTCTCAGGTTTTAAAACATAGTCTCAAAGCTACTGTCTCATTACTCTGCCTCCTCCTGAAAGACTTGAAGTCAAGGCAGCATAATCTGGGACGGAGCATGGTTTTGGAATCAGAAAGAGCTGAGATGAATGCCCCTTGTTGCCATCTATCAGCTGCAGAAACCAAATGACCATACTACCCGAGTCCATTTCCCTTTTATAAAACAGGGGTTTAGATAAGGCTGTTATAAAGATTAAAGGAGATTTGGTATAAAAGACCAGTTAATAGTAACGGAAACGTAGCCGGCATTCAGCAAATGTCAGTCAGTGCCCTTCCCCCACCCCCTTTTTAAGGTAACATTTGCACATGGTAATAAGTCAAATGGTACGAAAGGGTATCTAGTAAAAAGAACATCCTCTTATCTCTGATCCTCAGTTCCCCCAGCCCCCTCCCCAGAGAAATCCTTGCTTCCAGGGTCTTAGGTATTTTCTTTGAAAATACTGCGAACATAAAAATTCTACATATTTACTCAGCCTCCTATTTTTTTTAAATAGTACCTGTTCTTGTGAACTTGTAATGGGATCCTG